GAAAGAATTGTCACACACTTGGTGCTCATGATTTCACACGATTTGCAACAATTTCTCACATGTATGAGCTCTATTTACTTCTCCTATAAACAAATCACTCATTTGCTCTCAATTCTAAGTTTTGAGAGCCCCCAGAAACCGTACTCCAACTCAGAGGTTTCACCAAAATTTTCTGAGATCATGTTTTCATTTCAAGCCCTCTCAACTTGATTTCTTGATCCATTTAGTATCTTTGCCACCTCCTGAAGCTATTGCAACAGGAACCAGGCCTTGAGACCTTCTGAAACGCCCTAGCGAAGTCCATGTTTTAGTCACTTTGATCACACTTGTACAAGGTAGTTTTGAGGACCTTTTTGACTTAAATAAGATAACATTATGAATCTTATTACTCCATGATGCTTATCCATGCCTTAGTTTACTTTGATTGTTGATGATCTGAGTTAAATTTTGATTTTTGTTTTTTAGAGTTTCACGTATTTTTTTCTCAAAATTCACCAAGCACACTTTAAGTAAATGAAAAATAAGCATATGGTTGGATTCGTCTTGATGAGACGATCACAATGATGTTGGTCTCAAACCCTAACATTACTGTTTGTCAAATTTCGGTGACCAGCTCACCAGAGAAGACGACCAAAGAGGTTTTTTGGTGACAAAGTTTGTTTCATTTGCCTTGGTCAATAGCGTGCCTACATTTGTTTTAATTTGATTGGTTGATTCAATTGGATCTAGTGTGTTATTTCACTTAAAGTCCATGATGCGCTTTTATTTAGATCCCTCTGATTACCTGGCATAAGTGTCTTGAATCCTATGGTCCACGTAATTTCTGTTTTAATTTCTTTTTTCTTTTTTTGTTTTTAATTTGTTTTAATTTCTAAAATCTATTTTAATTCATATTTTCACTAAAAATTATTTTAAAAAATCTTAAAAATATTTCTAATTATTTTACACCTTGTGTAATCTTTTCAGAATTTTTATTTTTATTTTGATTTTTCTCTTATTTCCTTTATTTTAGTTGGTTTAAAAATAGTTTTATGCATTTTTAATTTCTCCAAATTTCTCCAAAATATTATAAATCATTTCTGATTTTTCTATTATTTTTGTTGCCATTTATTTAATATTTTGATATTACTTTGGCATTTTCTCTTTTATTTTCAATTTAAAATCATTTTTATGCATTTTAATTGTTAATTTTTCCATTTAATATTGTTGACTTCCGACTCCTTGAGTCATTATACATTTGACAAAAAGTTTCATCAATATCAATGGACTTTGGATGTTGGTTTGGTTTGTATGAACCTTCATTAATTCAAATCTACCATTACATGATTAATGGAATCATTTTTTTTCTTTGGGTTGGTGATAGGTTTATCACCTTGGTCCACCAAGAGAAGTGATTGATCTTGATGATGACTTGAATCAATGTTGGGATTCAATTGGTTTCTCTCTTCATCTCTCCTTCTTTCTTTCCTTTTTATTGGATGATGATGGATTCATCTTGTTCAATTAGGTTTGGATTGGTGCTTGATGAACTTTCATCATTTCAAATATAACTCTAAGTGATCATTTGATCACTTTAGGTACTTTGAATCAATGATAAGTTGTCTCAAGGTATCATGAAAGATTTTATTTATGTAATGATCTCATCTCATCTCCTTGACTTTATTCTTGTTAACTGTACTTTTAAACCATGGTGTGTATTTATGCAATACACCTACATTATTTTGGTCCGTCCTCAAATAGGTGCAACTTCTACATTAGTTCACTTACGATTGTTTAACATAGTGCCAAATCATCCCGAATCTAAATACTAATTACTAACATTAATAATATTAATTATGCTAACTTTATGTTTTTGCACTTTTACATTTATGTCATTTAAATTCTCACACATTACTTTTATGCCATTTACATTTTAGCATTTACATTTCATTTTTACTTTATGTCATTTATTTTATTGTCTTTTTTCCTTTTCCCCTTGGGAATTTCTTTTTCTTTCATTAAAAAGACATTAATAAAGGCTAAACACTTAAAAAACTTGGTTCTGATCATTTGGAATATTGGTTACTATCCCTGGCTTGAGGAGTTGGAATTTTGAACTTAGGATAAATCCTTGGCTTAGAATTTCATCTGATACCTTAAGATTCATCTGGACCATGTATTTGAGACTTGAGATTTCCTCTGTAACCTTTGGTTTTGTCTATTTGGTTTACTTTTCACCTAATGCAAGGATTTTTTATTTGATACCTTTGAGTTTGTATGATAATTTGAGCTTGATCTGATACCTTTGGTTTATCTGATGCTTTTATACTTCATTTTCTTGTGTGATATTCATTTGATGCTTGACTTGTGGCTTAATCCAAAGGAATGAGATGTTTTGCTTGACTTATGTCAAATGCTTGCTTCATTTTGGTTAGTTCACGTGCACATATAAGGGCTTTCTCTTGGGCTACCTTACAATGAGACCTTTTATTTTTTTCAATTTACTTTATGTTTTAGGATAGTCTCTTCATCTCTTACCTTTCTTCAATTTTCAAAATCTTCTACCTATTTCAAAATCTTATTGTTTTCAAATTTAAAACATCTTTCTCAATAAACCTTGAATTTGTCAAGTGATTTTCAAAATTTCTTTTCTTAATAAATGTTTAGACATCATAAGCATATTAAAACTCTTTTCAAAAGACTAAAAGATACAAAACCTATTCAAACTTTTTGTTCCCTTTGCGCACTTTTCCTTTTAAAACCTTTTTCTCTAAGATTAGATATTAGTCTTGTTTTAGAAGTGATTGCAAACCATCTTACTTCTACAAACATGGCAAAGTGATTGACATTTTCCACTGATATGTTGAGATATGTTGTTGTACCCCAAAATTATCCCTCCCATTTTCTTCAAGACATTCTCCTAGGGTTTTCATTTGCTCAAGGTTCCTCAAGAATTGATCAGACAAATTCCCCTCCTAAGCAATGGATCCAGAACTAGGGTTTCACTTTTCACAAATAAGATTAGGTTTCTAAGGTCTCAAGTGGATTTCACGGGTTATCATATGTCTCCAAGAATGGTCATGCCAAGTTTCAAACCTTGCATCACAAGTTTGCTCAGATGATTGAAAATCAATTGTATTGGATAAAAACTCAACTGTGGTCAACATACAACCAAACTTCAAGATTTTTGGTCAACATCAACATTTTGAAGTCACATTCATCATTTGGTCAAGGGTTGATCATGATTCATCAAGAAAACTCTCAAACCATAAAAAGTCAAGAGTTTCCAAATTAGGGTTTTCTTTAGGAGAAGTCAACTGAACTTTGACCAAGCACAACTTTCACGTTGTCGTACCCCAAATTTTCCCTACCTTTATGATCATATCACTGAATGATTTTCAAGGTTAAAAATGGAATAAAAATGTTTTAATTAAAGATGGTCCATCAATATCTGATGGCCCATTTGTAAGAATTCAAGTCAACAGAGGGGTGTATCCTAATTCAAGGGAGTTAGGCTTTCTAAATTAGAAAGACCCATATGCTTGTAAGCCCATTCGTGAAGCATGTTGGCCAACGACCCATGAGATTATAATATGAAGGTCTACTTTGTAAAAAGAGGTAATATTTTGCTTATAAAAATGAGAGGGCCCATTAAGAGGTTTGTTGTTAAATAAAGGGGTGCGCGTAATAATTCTTTTTAAAGCCCAGAGAATAGATACGGACTGGACCCATTTGACATTTTATGAGAAAATCATTTTTGTTTTATTGTTATTAAAATTCTTTCTATTATTATAGTATTTTTATAAACTATTAAGAGATTTATTATAATTATTCCATTATTAAAATACTTTATTATTTTTATTTTCTATAATCATTTTATTAAGAGTTTTTTTTTTAAATATGCGTTTAATGTTTGAAAAAAGGTTGGTTTTATAAAATTCAGGCCCAGTCCGTATAAAGAAGAAATGTTTGTTGTAACAAAAAATTGTTGTTGGGAAGAAAAGAAAATTTTGTTACAGTAAAAGGCCCAAAGTAAGTAAAGCATTTGTTGGGCAGAAGAAAAAAAGATTGAATAACGCAGGTGTTGCACCCCAAAATTTGCCCTCCTAATTTCTTCTATCTAGTTTAGGCCCTTGCACTCATATATATATATATATATATATATATATATATATATATATATATATATATATATATATATATATATATATATATATATATATATATATATATATATATATATATATATATATATATATATATATATATATATCCCATTTAGATCATTAACATACATCTACATTCGATAAAGCGCTTGAGGTTCAAAGTTCAGTGGCTGTGCGATATCAGGGTTTCACAACGGTTAAGGTGTTCGTATCCAATAAAGCCTGATTCTTCTGATTATCCTTCAAGCAGTAAAATGTGGAATTAGGGTTGCAATCTATGATCATTGAGGGTTCTGTTCTCTTCAAGTTAAGGGAGTTATTACTCATTCGGATACATTCAAGATAAGAGTCAGAGTGTTTCTCCACCAAGTTTGTGCTTGTCAGCATTTCATCCACCGAGGTTCATTAGGTTTTCTAAGTTATGGCCAGCTTGGTCATGTTTCTTTCTGTATCTCCATGTTCACTTCCAAGTTGTTCTACGAAGTCATCTGAAAGGTTAGCAAGTCAGGCATTCATTATCTTCTTGTGCTCAGCGTCATCCCAGTCATGCACTTAATATGATACAGGGTAAAAACAACGTGCTCTTGATGGATCCTCATTTGGAGGGAAAATTTTCTACATAGGAGGCAACAATAGCGGTCAATATTGCCTCTAAATAAATGTTTGCAATATGAATCGCGAGAGTGGCCTACTCCAAATTCCTGATGCATTAGTCTCCGAGATAAAAAGTTGGGAGAAATCAAGTAAAGCTAGATCTGGTGCAATAGCCATAACTTGTTCGAGCTTCTAGAATGATTCTTCTGCTTCATTACTCCACTTGAATTGAAAAAAAAACACTATGCAATAGACTTAGTGTTATTCAATATTCTGAGATGGTGTAGCTGAGCCTGTGTGGCTGACTCGGCTCATTCTCCTTGTACGGTGAGGAACTTTCCTTGGTGGAAAATTAAGTGTCAAAGCTGCATAATCTGCCACATAAGGTCTCAAATTTCTAACCACGTTGACCCTAGTATGATGTTTGCTCACGATATTGGTAATAAGTACACAAGTACCATAATATCTTGTCCTTGCACATTTAGTGGCAGATTCCATATCTTGCCTTCTACATTCATTATTTGCCTGCTTCCCACTAGAACTCTAAGGTTATTAGCTAGTACAATAAAATTTGAATTTCGTATCTTAATATTACAATATATTAATGAAAGGCCCGCCAAATGTAGGCTTCATTACACTAACAAAGATACTATTGTTTGTAAGCAAAAATCTTGTATTTCTGTAGATTTTGACTAATTTTTTTGAACTAAAGCAACAGTAACTGCCACTGAAGCAAGTAAAAATAAACAGTTCAAACATTGGAGAAAACACCACTTGAGTGACAATATTCATATATGCTTTTGGGCAATGCGCATTTGTATAAGGAAAATCACGACCAAAGGTCCAAACCCAACTGTTTCAAGTAGAGAAAGAAATTGATTGAAAAATGGCATTGCCATGTTTTTGCAAGGCGAAGCCTATGCTATCTATTATGTGATCAACCGGATCCTGCTCTACGAGATGCAACACAAGAACAATGTGTTTATCCAGACTGGCCTGCGACTTTCTACATTCAGTCAATTTCTCTTGCAAAGCTGAACACGCACAAGGATGCAGTTGACATGTTAAATAAGGCCGCCGCATGGGAAGAGAAGAAGCAACGAGGAGCGAGAGGATCATAGTTTATTGCATACAGTGGGGGCTAATTTGAGGGTGCCAGGTTCTGTATAAAGGTTGAGCTGGGAAGCGAAACTAATATTTGAATCCTGCAAAAAAAATATGCCGAGAAATAGGAATCAGTTATTATAGCACTGTACACAATTATTACATGGGTGAAGACAGTGATTGAGAATGTACCATCACTTATTGGAAGGACAACACCACCTGATTTTCTAGCAAAGTTAATATGGAATCATCATGTAGAAGTTAAACACATAGATACTGTGAGGGGATACTCTATTAGTGCTCACTATTTTTGAAATAGATATTGTGTTTCCAGAAGACATGCCATTACCCAAACAATTTGATACCTACAACAACACAACAGCTTCAACAACAAAGAGATAGGTAGTTAAAGAAACGAATCCTAACATAAGAGGGAGAAGGTTAACACCTTTGCTTTCATTTCAAGCCCCTTTTGGCGCCATTTGCATTTAGGGATCTTGAATCTTCAATCTACAAAGGTATTGATCCGGATTCTATGGTAGAACAAAGCTCATTCTCATGAGGAAACTCCTAACCCATCCACCTGTTAGGCCCTGCATAGAAAGATAGAAAGAAGAAATCAGTTAACCGCTCAGCCCAACATCTTATTAACAAACTGTTAACAAACTTCAAAAGAGTTTTCTAACTGTTTCTAACAAACTTCAACAAAAAATCCCAACTGTTTTAACAATACATAACAGAATTTTCTAAACAGAATTCTAACAGCTAACTAACCTCTGAACCGCCCATAACATAAACTTCAACAAAATTTAATGAATTCCAACTGATTAATCCCCACCCTGCAATATCTAACTGAAACTATTGGATCCAATGGTTCAGGCAATCATCTTTATCTATATAAGCGAGCCTCTATCTTCATTCTTCGCATCATGATTCATTTTTCCTTAAATCACTAGAAAAAATATCAAATCTCTCTCTGCATTCTGAGTTTTTCTTCAGGTCTCATCAACACCATCACGGTTCTTATTTCATCATCTTCATCATACTTCTTCCTCACTCCTTCAACCAGAATTTCATCACTCAACTCCACCCTAACCTCTCTAACTCTGCAACTTCCGCCATCTCTCTCTCCGTAAATCACAATCAACCTTACTTCTATTCCGCACCTTACACCTTCATTATCTTCTTCTCATATCAAGACCTTAATCACCACTTCTTCATCCGATATCTCTGCAACAACAACCTACATATCTCCCTATTCTGCAAAGCACAGAAAGGAGCCGAACACACAAGAAAGGGAAAAGAGCGAGAAGTATGAATCACCTACAAAATAAGAAGAAAAGAAATATCGCAAGAAAGTGAAAGAATCAGAGACGCAATACCTGGAATATCTGCCACACCTCTGGTTTTCTATTTCTTATCATCTCCATCATCGAAATCGCATCGGACGATCTCCGATAGGTAACTCCTGAATCTCTTACTTTCATCATCTCGCATGAAACTTGATTGAATGATTGTTCAAATGTGACTGAAATCCGATGATCTCGCACCTTCATCTTTCATTCGTAATTCCTTATTTATATATTTTCTGAATATGTGAAATTGAGTTGAAATTGGGAAGAGAAGATCACGATCGGAGAGATGAAGCACGGTGTTTGAGTGAGATGATAGACGGAGATGAGGACGAATCGGACGGTAGAGATGTTGGAGTTGGATTGAAGAAGATGAGAGGAAGTGTCGAACGGCGCCAGGAAGGAGAAGAGAGAATTTTGTGCATAGGAAGTTCAATCGACGCTCATTTTAACCCTAAGACCTTTTTCAATTGTTCACGTGTTTTTTTTTACTATGTTATTTTAGCCATCTCTTCATCAACTGGTGTTTTTTAACACAATAACAAAAAAAAAGGGGAAAACAGATTAAACAAAAAAAAAAGGGGCTGGACTAAAATTACACCTCAAGCCCATTACCATCTTTCTGGAAGATTATTGATGCTTGCAAAAAAAATGTATAATCACTGAACCGAATTACACTTTCTATTGGGTCCATTCCTTGTTCTTATTTCATGACAGATCTATAAAAAAAAGAGCTTTCTGGGCCGCCCTGGATTGGGTTTCAGCGCCCAAGATTTCTCTTTGGCCATGTACACGCCTGACTACAGGCCGTACCCCCCTGGTCCTCTTAGTTTTTTATTTTAATGTTTTTTTAATAAAACAATGTATAATAAAAAATGATAAAAACTTTACGAGGCATTTTAGAAATTAATTAGGAATATATTTCTTCTTTTTTTCTAACTTTTTAGTCAATTTTAATCATTAGTTTTATTCATTTTATATCATGTATTTTGTTTGCGATTTTTGGATCGTATGTAATATTTTAATATTTGCTATCAATTTCATTCGTTTGTATAGTCTGTCATGATCCCTTAGGAAATTTTGTTCAAATTTAACCTTCGATTCAATTAAACCAAAATCGGATGTTGGAATTGTAAATCCAAGCATACAAACATTAGGAATAATTCTCTCAAAATTCTAACCTTAGATCTGACCATATGCATGATAATATTAGGTGTAGAGATAGACTAATCCCTTTTAACTTTTCTTCCCCGTTTGCATATGCATCTAGAAAAAGAAACTTCCTTTTCTTACAAACTTCAAAATACATAAAAATTTACTGACAAGAATCATGTCTTTGCTAAGTTTGGGAGATGATAAGCGGGTTTCTTCTCGATCTTATTATTCTCTTATTCTAAGCCTTGGCATGGTTCAAGTCTCAAAGAATCATTTCATGAATAAGTAGAGAAATGGCTAAAATCACTCTGTTGAGATTAACTAGTTATCCTCTACAAGCAAAAAAATATCAACAAACACAATTCTTTTTGCCTTCGGGCCTTTCCTTTCAAACTTTTTTTCCAGAAAGAACATGTTAATTCACTTATGTGCTGACGCGTAAATCTCCAAAGGTCGAGTTGCGGCAGAAGGCGAAATTAATACCGTTCGCTACAAACACAAACAAATTTAAACCTTTTTGTGCGCCCAGGCACATTTTCTCCAATTTTTTTTTGAAAGAACATGTTAATTTACTTCTGTGCTGACGCGTAAGTCTCCAAAGGTCGAGTTGCGACAGAAGGCGAAATTAATGCCGTTCATTAAAAAAATACAAACAAACAAAAACATATAAGCCGAACTATGGCTGCTCTGATTCCTTAAAAGGGATACGTAGGCATCGGGGTAGGGCCCGAACAAGCACAATTTTATTTTCCCTACATTTTTTCCCTTTTCTTTTGCATGCATTCTCCCTTTAGCAATAATAAACAGTAAGCATAGATTAGACGCACCCATAAGATAGATAACAAGAGTGGATACCGTAGAGTACTACGGGCGTGTGGGGTGCTAATACCTTCCCCTCGCGTAACAGACTCCCTTACCCGATCTCTCGGTCGCAAGACCGTGACTTCTCCCTTATCAGGTTTTCTTGATGTTTACCTTTCCCTACATGTGGGATAAAAGACGTTCGATGGCGACTTCATTGTTCGATGATTTTCAGCCGTTTGTTTCAGCTGCGACTTCACTGGGGACACAGGTCGACCAAATGCTGGTCCATCCCGGAGTCGCTCCTAGCTCTTGATTTCTTTTCTTTGGGTGTTTATTTTTATGCTTTCAGTTTATTCGTTCATTTTAAATATACCTGTGCATATGCATGTATTATACTTTACTGTCTTCCATATACTGTTGTTGTACTGTATCTGCTTCTTGCTTGGGTGGGAATGTTACTATTAAGGTAAAAGGCCTAGTACCCATACTAGAGTTCACTAGGACACCTAGGAATAGAGTGGGGGCATGACGGCTATAAGACGTGGTCCGATTAGTGCAGTCATGTCATATACCACGCTCGGATGAGGTTCAATTAAAGGTATTTTCATCATGCACGTCTGTGTTGCGATGATTTTACTTTCAGGCGGACCCGTGATTTTCGAGTTACCATTATCTCACCCTGACCTAGTCTTCACGCGTGAGTGGGGAGGGATTTATCATTACAGGTACAGTTGGTGACTATATTCAGACGATTACTTTTGGTTATGTCCTGCATTTCTACCAACAGTTATGAGGTTCTCAGATATATTTTCTGAGGACTTATCTTTGATCTTCATGGACCTCTTCCAGTTACATTTTAGACCTGTAATCTCGGTATTGACAAGGATACGAAGAGGCAGTATAGCAGAAACCCGTATCATGGAAGTAGTAACCACATGATCACTTCGCACACACATCATAGCATATTTACTTTTCAAAAATATACATGTAAATAATTAATTCGGATGCGCATTGTCATTTCTAGGATCTATCCAGGGTTTCCTTTTCCTCCGAAGAATGGTGAACAACACTGATGTCACCCCGAAGACAAAGAGGGATAACTTCAGCTATCAGTTTCGTCCTAGTACTTGGCCCTCTCTTGAAGAGCTCAGAGACCTCATGAATTGTCAACAAATGGGCGTTTTTGGTGAAAGATATGGGAATCTCCTATCTTTGTTGGATGCTCGGGTTAACGACAAGGCTGTACAGATTTTGATACAATTTTATGATCCACAGTTGCGATGCTTCACATTCCAAGACTACCAGTTAGCACCTACTCTTGAGGAGTATGCTCATCTTCTCCATATTAAGCTCACCGACCATGTTCCATTTGTTCAAATCCCTATTGAACCTAATTTTAAGGCTATTGCTAAGGTTCTTTATTTGATCCTTAATGATTTAAAAGGAAAATGGAGACACAACAAAGTCACTACTGGTCTTCCTACAGATTTCTTGGCAAGTAAGGCTAAGGAAATGACAAACGTGGGAAAATGGGATGCTTATTATGCTCTGTTGGCTGCCATTATTTATGGAGTTGTCTTATTCCCTGAGATTAAAGAAATCATGGACTTGGCTTCTCTGTGCGCCTTCATGAATAAGAATCCTATACCTACGCTATTAGCAGATACTTACCACGCCATCCACTCCAGGCATAGGAAGAAAGGAGTAGTGGTATGTTGTATACCAATGCTTTACAAATGGTTCATGGCGCAGTTACCCACCAAAGGGACATTTAAAGAAGATCCCCGTTCGTGGGCATCAAAAGTGATGACGCTCACCTCTTTCGACATTCAATGGTACAAACTTAAGGCGGATAGCTCCGAAGGCATCTCCCACTGTGCAGGTTTCTCTAATGTTCCACTCATGGGAACAAAATGGTTTATCAACTACAATCCGGTACTCTCTCTTCGCCAATTAGGTTATGCCATGAGGCGTCCACCCACGACCAAGGAGGTTGAACCTATGTTTCTCAAAAAAGGAGAAGACCCAGAATTGCTAAAAAAGGTGGAGATTGCTTGGGCACATATTGGAAGGAAAGGAAAGGAATTCTTCGGGCCAAAAGAAGCTTTAGCTTTCGACCCTTACGTGGATTGGTTGAAGGAAAGAGTCA